TGCGAAAGCCGTGTCCATCCAAGCACCCGGGATATTCCCTTTCTGATTAAGGTTGGGGGGATCTTTTTCCCTGCAGCTTCACAGTGGTCCCAGCCGGCGCAGTCCACCTCCTCCTTCCGCAGAGCATCTCAAAGGCTGAGCATCCTTCGCCTGTGAAGCTTTGTGCCCTTCCAGTCCCCGCCTTGTCGTTTCCCCGTCTCTTTGCGTGTCCCTCAGTCTAAAAATTCATATTGATCACATTTGGGTTTTTTCTTTCTCTTGTCACTTTGCTTTGTTTCCAGAGATGAGATTAGACTAATTCCCTATTGCGTCAACTTCTGTTTAAGACAGACAAGCTGGAATTAATGTAGCTTTTAGCCCTCTGGGGTTTAATGCTTTCAGGCCAAATTCTAAGAGGACAGGGTTGGTCTCCCCAAAGATAATGATGCTGGTCTCTGTTTCTGAGGTCATCCCAGCCAAAACGGGCTGTGGGAGATGCTCAGTGAAAGTGTTGGGATAAATATCTGCAAAGAAAACAGATTTTTTTGACCTTTTGGTTGAGAGAAGAGACCTCTCCGGGTCGGAGAAGCAGGTGCGGAGGTCTGTCTGGAAATGTTGGCGGTGGGGGAGTTTGCAGGTGGGGCTGTGCAAGCCTGCGGAGGGACCGGGGGCTGGTCAGAGGCTGAACTTGAGAGAGGAGAGGGATGAAGGGGTCTCCAGAGACACTGGCAATTGGAGAAGCAAAAGGGAAGAGTAGGAGAGAAGTGGAAGAAGTGCTGAGCTGGCTGTGCTGGAGGAGGACGAGGGAGGCTGGAAAACGCTGTTGCAGTCTCGGCAGAAGCTGTTTCGATGGCGAGGCTGCGTTGCGTAGCGTGGAGCTGGAGGGAAGGAAAACCTCAAGCATCAAACCGGCATCTTCAGTGAGCTTGCAGGAACACAGGCAAGCAGTGGTAGCTGTAAAAATCGTCGAGGGTAATGATGCTTTTTTAGAGGGGCATTACGAAGATGCGCTGCAAAAGGACAGAGACAGAGAAGCATAAGGATGAGGCAATAACGAGTAAAAAAAGTAAAAATGAAGTCACTAGAGTAGGAAGATGGGTTGATGGGAGGCAGCACACGAGCAACCTCGGCGAGCGTTGTGCAAATGGGGAAGCAACGGTTAAAACATCGGAGGGGAAAGTCTCGTTTCTCAGTTTTGTCTGAGCAAGAGACTCTGTGCAAAGAGCCACGGAAAAAGTGGGGGAGGCCTGGGAAAAGCAGTGGGAAGGCACGTGTGGGAAGGACGGTTGTTCTGGAGGAAGAGCCTTGGCCAGGGACTTCTGCCATTCAAGAGGGTGAGGTGAGGGCAGGGTGGAGGTGTGATATCTCACCAAGGGACGGGCAGAAACTCGGGGTCAAAGAGGGGGAAGAGGAAGGGAAAAGGTTACCTGCGGCCTGAAAGCTGTGGGGCATGAGAGACGAGGAAAACAGAAGGAGAACTTGACAAAGAGGCAGAAAAGCAGCGACAACGTGAGCACGTGGTGAGATTAACTGCGCTTTTGCTAATGGATTAGGATGAAACGAGGGCATTGGGGGAATTTGAACCGACTTGGGCCATCCGGAGCCCAAGAGCTTTGCTCCTCACCCCGAGCTGCCCCACCAGCGGGGATCTGAAGTCAGGCATCAGCTGGAATTTTTGACGCCACATGCGAAGCACGAGATCTCCGGCGGCTGCAGGGTGAGCTGGATCGTGCCTGGGCTCTCTAATGGCTTTTAATGTATTAATCACTTGTTTGCACTTCTGACTTTTCTCCTCCTTTCGATAAAGCAGTTATCTAAAAGCTGATAGAGCCAGTGCAGCTTTGACTTTCACAAGGTGCCTCGTCTGATACTAAGATACAACACCAATAATCTTACCTGTCTCAAAAAAACCCCACAAACAAAAAAAACCCCTCTCTCTGCAGCCAGTATAGTACAGGTTTTAAATTTTCTGGTGATTTTCTTTGTAAACTGCTCAGCAGGGTATTATTCAGGCAGCTGCATCAAGGGACTAATATAACATGTGTTCTCAATTTTGGACCCTTTATGTTGGGAATTTTCCATTGTGCAATTGCATTAAATCTGAGGCGGCTGACAAGAGCACGATGTTTTCTAAATCTACACAAGGTTGAATGACTGAAATAAAAATAGATGGAAAAGAAAACAAAGTGAAATAAGTTTGCTTTCTCATGTAATGGCAGGCAGTAGCGTGAGGTCAGGGACTTAACGATAGCCAAGCCATCCGTCAGGGACCGTGAAATAACTGATCCTTCCTAAATCACTTTGGAAATTGTCTCCTTTTTCAGACAGGCGTTCTCTTTCGCTCACATGGATCATACAACGAGAAGACTGTGTTCCAAGTTATCATTTTTATATAAATTGTGGTAATAATGACTATACTTGTGAAGCATTTTACTTTCTAAACACCTGGGCTGTAGGATGTTATTTGCAGTATTTTCCTCACTAGGAAACGTATGACTTTTATTACCGCCTGTAAGAAAAATCCATGGTGGGCTGGTGGCATGGGAGGGGGGGAGGGCAGTCTGTGGAGCAGTGGGGTGGTCTTGCCTGCAGGAGAGTCGATGGATTTACCAGTGCAAATGTCAGGCCAAGACGGCAGCTGCAGGAACAGCCGGAGCTCTGACCTGCCAAAAGGAGCATCCGTCGGGTCATGGGTCAGGGAGGTTTGCGGCCTCGTGTGCGGCGCGGGGGTCTCTGTCCTGCAGCATGCCGGGATCCTTCTGGAGTTTTTTGGCTCTGTGTTCCTGTCCAACAGGGCCTTCACTTTTACCCTCATTTTACATCCTAGAGGTGTTTTTTTCAGCCCAAACTGCAAAGGTGGCCGTTCTTTTTCTCTCTGAAATTTAGACAAAATGCCAGACCAGCTTCAGCAGATGTCAGCACGATGCCACTTGAACGTCTGTTAAGGAGAGTTTCATAAAAAAAAGCAAAGGGGGGTGCCCGTTATTGCTATAATTTTCTTACTGAAGCAGAGCTTTAGGCATGTGCAGAGTTAATAGCTTTTGCTCAGGTGGAGAATGAGGTGACCTCAAATGCTAAATCCCATTTTGTTCTGCTTAAATGACCAGCTGCACCCCGCTACAGCAGTTCGTACCCTCGTTATTATTTTGTTGTCTTTGTGTCTTGGATACTGATATTTTAATTACCAAGTCCTCTGGGGTTAGAGCAGGTCTGTTCACCAGGGTGCTGAGGCCGGCCGCCCGCATCTGAACAGGGCTCCTTTCGGCACAGCCTTCCTCACGCCCTTCCCTGCATCTCGGTTAGTCTTCAGAGGAGATATTTCTTGAGCAGGCAGCTCATCTGGCTGAGTTCCTGGGGTGATCCTGGTGGATGGGTTCCTCTACATGTCCTGTCGTGAGGCGAGCCGTGAAGTTGTGTAGTTAGCAGGGGGTTTTAGCCACAAATGGGAAACTCTATCCGTTTAGGTCTGCAATGTGTCCATCAGTTGCAAAAAATAGTAAAAATATATATATATATATGCTTGTCTTGTGAAAAAATAGCCGTAGTTTAGCGCTGTGCAGGACAGACCACTAAGTTAAAAATACATCTTCAGAACACAGTGCATCTAAACACAAATTGTTTATTATTGGCTATTTTAGTTGTACCAGTCATGGGATATTCAAGTACTGACATGGGAACAGCAAAACGCAGTTTTTAATTCTGGGTTTGGACAGCAACCCAACAAGGGGCAGCCATGAGAATTGAGATTTAAGACCGCAGAGCGTAGACTTGAACCCTAACAGAGCTCCCCAGGAGCAGAACCAGGGGTCACGAGGCCGCTGATGGGAGGCAGTGCTGGAATGCCCCGTGGCTGATATTAAAACCTACGAGCAGAGACGCGTTGCTTTGTAACACGTCGGTTGAGTCTCCTCACCAGGGCTCTTTGTCAGGCAGGCAGGCCCCAAGGGCTTCTTCCAGCGCACTCCAGCGGTGGATGCACCTATTTTTAATGAATAATCAGATGTAAATTAGCAACAGAGATGAAAACTGAACTGAACTCAACTCAACTCAACAAGCACTCATGTGTTTCTCTGCTCTACCCAAAAGGAGAAGCAAGCAGCCATTAAGTTCATTTTATTTACTGCTGAAGGACACCAGAGCACCTCTTGTAACAGTTCGAGCAGCGCTGGGCGGTCTGAAGTGAGTGCCAGGCACGTTCCCTTTTAATGTTTGTTAGTGTATGTCTAAAAACTTCCTTGCCAGCCTTCAGTTCTAAAGCAAGAAGGAAATTGTGACATCTGGTCCAAAGCCCGTGCAAGGAACAGCTGCAGTTTTTATGAGTACAGCCCGCCCTAGCTGGAAGGGGAGAATACAGAAAAGGCGTGGTCTTGATAGGATCTGTTTTGCTCAACATTCATTCCACTCTGCATCAATTCAATGAGGAAGATGAAAACCATAGTGTTCGCACTTGAAAAACAGCCAGTTTTTCTAATATTTTCCTGCCGCTTTAGCCAACACATAGGATGCCTGTTGGATATGGTGGTCAATCACTAATTACATTTTCTGTGTATTTAAAGGTTAAAGTAATTAAAAGTGTCAAATCTGTTCCTCTTTTCAATAACAAAGAATAAAAAAGCTGACCTCGGTTCTTGCGGGGATGAGGGGAGAGAGCTCTGTTTTCTCCCGTGCACGGTCCAGCGCAGTAGTTTCAGTTCACAGAAGCTGCGAGGGGGCTCTGGGGCTAATTTGTACTTTTATTACTTTCCTTGGCCATTCGGAAAAGCCAGCTCTCAGACAGAGACGGGAATACACTCCTCCTACTTCAGCCCCTCTCTGCCATTATTAATAGAAAGGACATTAATAGAAGGGACATTTTCCTGCTAATCATGTTTAGATACATAGGTAGATGGATAAATAAATAGATAGATGGATAGATGGATGGATGGATGGATGGGTAGACAGATAGACAGATAGATAGATAGATAGATAGAGATGTCCCCCATATATTTGTTTTGCTTCCCATTCCCTTCTGTGTTTTCCAGGTACAACTTGTTTGATCGCACTGTTGTCAGATAAAGAACTCACGGTGGCCAACGTTGGTGATTCGCGCGGAGTGTTGTGTGACAAGGACGGGAATGCCATCCCCCTGTCACACGATCACAAGCCCTACCAACTGAAGGAGAGGAAGAGGATTAAAAGAGCTGGTGAGTCGTAACATTTTTGCTTTGGATTGAAGGTTCATCTTTTTTCTTCTCTGCTCTGTCAATAATATAGACTTTTCCCCTGAGAGAGACTGAAAAGTACTAGACTGAGGCATCAGCAGATAAAATCTTCCATTATTAATACAGCACTTTTCAGTGGGATGTCATGGTGCAGACAGAGAAATGGAAGCAGATTGACCGATCCCTTAATGAGCCAGTGTCGGAGTAAGAAGAGCAGCCTTCATCTTCAACAGCCAGTTGACTGTCCTGGCCAGTTCCCTTCTGATCTCTGCAGGGAGCACATTAATAAACAGCAGCGTTTCAGGCTTCTGCACACCAAACCGCATCAGCAGCCTTTATGTGAGAGGCTGGGTCTGAAGCTGAGCGAGGTTTAGCTCCTAAAATAAGCAGAGCACGGATCTAATTCATCAAAGCTATTTTTCGTGGCCACATAGTGACTGCTAATGAGCACAAACATGTACATTGTAGCAGGAGTATAGGGAGAGAATGTAAGAAACAGCAACTTTTCCGCAATACATCTGTCTCGCTTTCATCACTTGTCAGTTTAGCGACCTCCTGGTCTAGAAATCACATTTGGATCATCAAGTTTAATAGCCAATTCTCCATGAATTTGTCAAAGTCTCTTTTGAACCTGTTTCTGGTTTGGCTCCCACAGCAGCCTGCAGCAGCAAATTATTTGACGAAGGAAAAAACGTTCCTCTCGTTTGTGCGAAACCTACCGATGAGCGTTGCCTCCAGAGATGCATTGCCTCTCTGCCTCCACGTCTGCGTCTGTAAAGTAGAAATAACGAGTTTTTCTCAGAGTATAAAACATTTGTAAAACCTACAGGATATCAATACCCTCTCACCAGCATAAATGCCGGTACCTGTGCAACGTGCACTTTCCTCTCAGGTCGCTTTTGTCGTGGTGGGGATCCTTCCTGCTGCCAGCCAGAGAGCCGAGGTCACGTACAGTCCCCAAAGGGGCAGAAAAGGGACACAGATCCTAAGAAGAAGGAATAGGAAAAATCTTGGTCTCGCTTTGCTTCAGCTCCATACTTGGGGGATGCATTAATAAGATTTGGAGATTTGTCTGTAAAATGCCTTCTCTCTTAGCCAAGTCCAGGGCCTCTGTGCAATTGTTCACCGCGAGAAGGCCGTCACCTAGGAGAAGAAAACCCTTTGATTATTTCATTTGTCTAGAAGTGAGGCTTTATAGCACAAACCCATGTAAAATTAACCTGGATTTTCACAGGAATTTCCAGCTTGGGAAGAAATTATTGTAACGGACAGGTAAACGTTAGAACCATCAGCAGCAAAACAAGAACTGTCCATCTAGCCTAGTGACTTAGTGAATTCGCTTCCTCTGTTACCCGTTGCCCCATTGTATTATCATGATCGATACGGCCTCCTGGTGCTGTTAAAAACATACAATCCCATTTACGTCCCCGCCGGCTACTTTTGCATTTTGCAACACCCCTTCCTTACATACAGTAAGCGTAAAATTGAAGCAAAGTGCCCAAACTGAATTATCCAGCTTGCATTGCTACTGTGACCAGACTTTTTTCCACCATCCAGATGCTTCCTTGTCTTGTAGAACTGAAGGAAGCGACAATCGCCACATCGTTATGGTACATTTCAGTTTTCCAACTTTATGTTGCCCTGTCGGTAGCTCCAAAGCGACGGCGCATTTAGGATTAGATTTAATTTAAAAGTGAAATCCATCTGGCCACGGTTGAGAAACTGTCCTTCCAAACTCCGTCTGATATAAATCCATTTGAGGCAGCCTGCAACAGCAGCTCAAAGAAAAGCGGGGCTTGCCCTCTGCGTTTCAGCGGCGCGTTAGCATTGGGAGGACAAGCGTAAAGCAAGCCGTCATTTTTCGCTGCCGTGGCGGATGTTCAGGAGACTCGCTGCTTGCTGCTCTCAGCGGTCGGTGGCCGGGGAATGAATTCAGTCCCTCTCTTTTTCCCATTCCCAGCAGCTGCGTACAAAGCCTTAGTCAACCCAGAACCTGCAAAAACAGTCGGGTTACCAGTCCGACGTGACGCAGACGTCACAGGGTCTGAGTCAAGACTTGGTTTTTCGCCAAAGGCTGGCTGATGGAGCTCGTCCCACAGCCGAATGAGATCGGGGTCCCGCCACTCTGCCCCGTTCCTGTCGGACAGGGCAACGCACGTGCTGCGCTACAAGGATGCTGCTTTCCCTGGAAAATCTCCTTCTGCGGAGGAGCTTGAGTGATGTCTGTAGTATCAGCGTAAGACAGTGGCCTTGAAACAACCGTGGGTTTGGCTTGTGAAGAAACACTCGGTTGTAGAGCCACAAGGTGACTGTCACCGATAGAAGTTTAAGTCATTCACCTTGAACATAATCCTCCGAGCTCAGCTCTCGCTAACGTGCAAAATGTTTGTGCGGTTGCCAAAAAGCTTCTGTTTCTTTAACGTCTTTTCCTCTCCAGTGGCAGACAGTTTGCTTTTCCAGGAGCATTTTTTTATGTATTCTGCACGGATGGTTTTATAAAAGAAAATAGTAGAAGTGCCAACAGACACTTCAGCAAACCACTTCAACTTGTGCCGTGGGCAGTTCCAGGTGAGAACGGCCCCGGAAAGTCACTTTGTACGTGTAAGCACAGCCTGCAGAGACTGGAGTGAGCGTGCTGCAGCGAGTCACGGGTGCAGGCACTGCTGTCCTCTAATTATGTGTTAAATGTCTCCTTAAAACTGCCTCTTAATTGCATTTTGCTTCCCCTGTGGTTACAGTCCAGTTACTGTAGTCCTAATGGCTTACGCAAAAACCCTGGGCTGGGGAGCAGGGGGCTGTGTAATGTTCAACTGAGGCGCCCTCAAAACACCAGCGGCAGGTCGAGGCTGGTGCGAGTGCACGCCTGAAGAGGAGTCGCAGGAGGCTCGCGAGGCCTTCCTCTCTTTGGCTCTGGAAGGAAACAGCTTCGTCAGGGAGACGGCCTCGAAGTATTCATGAAAACACCCAGCTAAAAAGTTTTGCTTCTGCTGGTTCTAACACAAATCAGGTTTCAAGCTGTAAATGATGACGAATCGTTAAAGGAAACGTAGGTTCACCTGCCAGCAGAAGGAATTTACAGATGAGATCAGCCAACCGGGAATGGAAATGCTATCGTAGGGTTTAGGCGGCTGACAACGCACAGGCTGAAGTGCAGAGCTGAAAACATTCCGATAACGACACAGAACAAAGTCATTTATGAGAACATCAAGGCAGGCAGATGGCAGGTATAACAGACACAGTTCACCCGATTTTGTCATGCATTTTAACGCTCCACGTTTGCAAATTATTTGTCCTCAAGTGACTTCTCATTCCTGTTAAGGTGACAGGACTATTGCTGTGAAACAGTGCAGGCAGTGGCAGGCAGATGCACGCACAGGGATTGAAGGTGCCTCAATTTTACGCTTTGACCTTGGACACTGAACCATTCCCTCCCTGGCACAGTCAGGCTGTGTGACGGCCACGTCCTGCCTCTGCCGGACATCAATTTCAGTGCGAAACATATCTCACTATAAGCAACACCTGAATAAAAGAATATGTTTTTAACTAGAAGTAGCCTTAATCCTGGTGACGGTAAAATCAGTCAGATCTCACACTGCATTTTTCTGATTTGAAGTAAAATTTCGTGATGGGTTTGTTCACAACAGGTTTTTGCTCCTTTTTGACGCGGCTCATTCGAGGCAGTTCTCTAGAAGAGCCTATAAACGTGTTTGCACTTGCTTCTTTGCTTTATGCCATGAAGTGAGATGTGAGTCCTACTGCAGGGTGTTCTCAGTGTTGTTCCCTTCATAGATCTTCTGAAATGGGGAAAACAACTACGCAGAAAAGGGCGGTGTTTGCTAGCACAAGAATATAAAGATTTGCTTTCAGCATTGCCGTCTTAACGCTGCCAGGAGGCTTTCTGAGCAGTCAGCTGCGTAGCACAGGGATGCCTGCGCTCAGTAAGTTGTCGGCCTCTCTGGGGAACAGAGAGCACGACGCCGCTTGGCTCGAGAGCAGAGCCATTCCTGACGCCTCTGCTTCAGCTCTTGCAACAGCTCTAGCGGCCACAATCCAACTCTTCCCTGCAGCGCTCCGAGATCCGCTTAAGGCATCTCCTGCTTTTTGAGATGTGTAACATCTGTAGACCTCAGGATGCGGCAGGATGGATTTTGGGTGGGTCTGGCAGGAAGCCAGAGAAATGCTTGAACTTTTTAAAAAGAACTGCTTTAAGTGTTGGTGTTTCTCTCCAGGTGGTTTTATCAGCTTTAATGGCTCCTGGCGCGTTCAGGGGATCCTGGCCATGTCCCGCTCGTTAGGAGATTACCCTCTGAAGAACCTGAACGTTGTCATTCCCGACCCCGATATTCTTACGTTTGACCTGGACAAACTGCAGCCAGAGTTCATGATCTTGGCGTCGGATGGTCTGTGGGATGCTTTCAGCAACGAGGAAGCTGTCCGATTCATCAAGGAGCGCTTGGATGAACCACACTTCGGTGCAAAGAGTATAGTGCTACAGTCCTTCTACAGAGGATGTCCTGATAACATAACAGTGATGGTGGTGAAGTTCAGGAATAGCAGCAAAACGGAAGAACAGTAATTGCCGGCGGTTCTCTGCCTCACTCTGAACTTAAAACAAACTCGCACATTTTAAACATAGTAGAAAGCGCTAGTAAATACCGTTAAGATTCTACACAAAAGGAACAGATCCCTCTGGTCTTTGTTCTTTGCTTAACAAAGGAGCAATACAACAAATACATTCTGAGTGATGATAAGAATTGAGTTTGTTCGCGTGTACCTGTCTCCTGTGACCTCGCTGCTCCTTCGAAACTTAACTGTAATCTTCCATTTCAGAATTTTCTTTGCAAATCCCCCGTAGACTTTTCACTTGGTTCCTTACCTCCCACTTCTAACAGTCAAAGGTGCGTTCAGAAGCACAGCAGGGTCGGGGCCGTGCTGCCGCTCAGTAGCAAGCGGTAGGAACGATGCTGCTTTTCCCTCGTAGGCGTGACCCTTCAGAACGATGCCCTCACGCTTCTCATGTCTTTTGTTTTTTCAATCCGCAGTGATAAGGTTGTACAGGAAAAGGTTTGCGATTATTGGCCCGTTCTTGAAGGAGGAAGAGGAGCCAACTATTAGCCTGCTACCCCAGAACCAGCTCTCTCGCTTGGTTTAACCTCCCCCCGCCCCCCCTTAAAGAAATCCCCACCACGCATGTGATTAGGTATAGTTACTGAATTACCTGAAGCCACATGTTTATTCAGGCTGTGCATTATTCTAATGACATTTCTTCTGTGCCATATTGTATTCAACCAACTTCAGCAAAATACCTTGAGGTCTGACACCTTCTGTATCAAAAAATAGCTCTGTTGTGATGGAAGAATGGCTGTCACTCACCGAGAATCACCCTTACGTTGCTGTTTTGGCATGGACTTTTCATCGGCATGTAAAGGAAGTAGCGCAAGATAAAATTAATTTCGTTAGTGACTGGAAAACTAATCAAAACAGGGCGTTCCTTAGAGCTACCTAGATGGAAGTCAAGCCTATTAAAGACTTCCTTGTGCCACTGCAGATTAATTTGTGGTGTTAATCCGGGGGAAGACCACTTTAGAACCGTTTTGGGGTATAATCTATAAATGCCAGGCAGCGTCGCTGCACTGCAGGGACGAAAGCTTGTGTTAAGCCTAAGTTTAGCTCTAACTGTCAGTATTTAATTGTATTTTGGAATCTGTGACTACTGTCAGTTTAAACAACGACAGTCAGAGTTTGCTTTACATCTGAGAACTTGGCTGGCTGCTTCACGATCGAGAGGCAGCAGCAGCAGCGAGACAGGGCAATGCACGTTAGAGGAACAGAGCCAGGGCCTGAGCTGGAGGATCATGTTTTGCACGGCTTGCTTGCCCGTATCGTCTCTGGCAACAAATCCCTGCAAAACGTGGTCCTGGACGATCCGCTGAAGACTCTTGTCTTCAAGGTGATGGAGTTGTAGGTATTTGGGTCCTGAGGCGGATCAGGGATATAATGCATTAACTAACACTGCCTGTTTCTTGGGTCGAGGTACAAAATTGCTCAGTTAAAAAGCTCCCAGTTTCTCCTCACCCACCGGTAGCATTTTTGGGCAAGTGGCTTGCTGGTCCCTGACACGCTGCGATGTGTTGCGGCCGCGCTGAGCGGGCGTGTGTCTCTCGAGACAAAAACGAAAGAGCACAACTTTCCGCATGAGAAGGAATTCCCATCTTAAATCTTCTCATTTTTGTTCCTAGGTTATCTCTTCCCCAACAAACTTCCCTCCTTTAGTTTGTCTGGAGATAATCACAGCTCTTAATTGGATCTCTTGCTATTCCCAGTGCTATTCAAATCGCGTACGTATCCTTTAGCAGGCTCTGGGTAGAGCCCCTCGACTGAGGAGCAGACCAGAGAAAAGCAGAAGTTTGAAAGCACCCAGCATCCTCTGAAACCAGCGGGCACCCAGCCCGCACTGGTCCTTCCCCAGAGGACGGAAGGTTTCAGACTTCTTAAATCTCTTGAACAGTGCATTCAGTGAATTTGAAATGCGACTTTGCAGTTAAATTGAGCAGCGAACAGGAAGTGTTAATAATTGCAGAGCGCTTCGGCTGTTTGATTTCAAAAAGGTATTTGAGGTCAGGACGCTGTGAAATGAAACCCTTGTGTGATATTTTCACGGGAGTGCTTAATCATGTCCTCGGTAATGCTACGGCAGCAGTATTGAAACCGCTCCGGGCAGAGCATGCAGCGTTTGCCTTTCCTTTCTCCTTCACAGATGATGTTTCCATTGCACTGGCTTTTCTTTGTAGGACACAGCTTGGATGTTTGTCAAAACAGCTGCCCAGGGAAAAGAAAAATTAGCCCCAGCAGCCTACAGAACCCTAAAGCAGAGGGACGCTTGGGGAGCAGAGACATCACCACTGGACCTTCCCAGGCATTTGAGAAGTCGGAGCTGGAACAAGGGTCAGCTCCAAAGAAAACACGATAGACTGACGCCGCTTGAGCGAAAAGCTCAAGGCTGCCACTGAGCCACTTGCAGCTCACAGTCTCCAGGTTAGGGAGCATTGACGAGGGATGCTTGACCTTCTCCCCAGCACAGCTCGCTTCCTGGTTGCTCCGGCACTCGGGATAGACAGGGGAGTGAGGTGGCAGGAGTCGTACGCGTTCCCAGAGTCCCGAAGCAGCCATGAGGAAGCAGTGGGAGGGCGGCTCGCTCTGGGAGTAAGCCATGCCACGGGATTTAGGAAAACACCCAGTGCAGTGCAATACAGAACTGTTTTGCGGACTTGTCTGGATATTTAGTCCCGGATTCATTTATTCTTGTCACTCGCAGGCTCATCCAGTCCTTAATCAAATCAGCCCCATCCCATTCTTCAAGCATCTGCAGTTGCAACAGTTGTTTCAGCACCTTCCGTTTTCCCTGCAGTGCTCCCCCCTTTGTCGTAGCTCCCTTTCCTGGCCAAAGGCATTCACGCCAATGATCTCCGGTAAGGTCGTTGACTTTTGGTTTTATTCCTTAAAAAAACGGGTTACAGCTCCTTTAGGTTTAACGATGAAGGACTAACGGAGGTGAGAGGCTTTGTGCAGTCTTCCACATCCATGCGCAGTGCCTGCCTGTGCTCTCCCTGCTGGACTTCTAAGTCTTTAATGCAGTTCTAGAATCTCTAACTGTCCAGTCGTACGGATTTATGCCAAATTCAGCCGTGATAACATACAGCTGTTGGGCGACAGGATTAAATCACATACATACTGCTAAAGCAGCCTAAATGATCTAGGGTCTGATCCTCCACCGCCTCAATAGTATATCCTACATCTGGAAAGAGCTGCCAGACACTGTAGCCAGAAATATCCCCACGTACGCTCGAGCAGCGTGGCAGAATGCGCTGCGGCATCGGCGAGGCAGTCCTTCCAGCACACCATCCTCAGTCCTGCTTTCCTGCCTGGGCACCTCTCCAATAAAAAACCCAAAGGGAGATGCATTTTGATTCAAGTGGCTTGCACACACCTAAATTCTTGCTGTAGGTGTTTGTGGTAGGTTTTTTTGTCGTTTAAGCCTGAGCAGCTCCATCAGTGACATCTGTTCCTCAAGTAATGATGGTTTCTAATGGCAGAAAACGGATCTGTCAGGTTGCTGCCAAAGAGCATCTTTCGTATGGTCCGATAGGAAAAAATGTACCTGGTGACCAGTCACCTTACCCAGTACCGGATCCCCGGTCCCAGTGCCAGCCTGGTTAGGCGGGATCACAGCTCCGTCTAGTGGCTGGCCTGGCCTAAGCACGGTAACCAAGCACCAGCTGTCCGAGTTAGTAGTTGCCCTCTTAGCCCGTGAGAGAAACCCGTGCGATTGAAGGGCCCGGTTGACCCACAGCGCGTTGCCGCAGCCCCGCTCCCTCCGGCCCAGCCGGAGCAGTGCCTGCCCGGGGTCTGCCCGACGTGGGCGAGTGCGTTTTTGAACGCTTCTCGGTGGGATCCAAACGTTTGGCAAGCACGGCGGACGCGGACGGCAGCGATCGGGCGTAGGAGGGTCCGGAATTCGTTGCTGCTCCCAGGGGTGGCAGGAGAGGTGATTTTATCGCGTGTACATGGACTTCTTTTGGGGCAACAGCCAGCAGCAGTGGTCTGGGCGCATCGATCCTGTCTCACGGGGGAGGGATGGTCACAGACACCATTGGGAGGGCTGTGCCGTAGCCCGACGGTTTCTAAACATACAGAATTTGAAAGGAATGAGCCTGTTGCACTGAACAGAATGTTTGGATCGATATAAGTAAAGTAAATGCCATCTGACATCGCGAAGTTAGACGTTACTAACCAGCACAGGTCAGTAGACAGCTCTACTGACTCGTGAACACAAGGTCAGTACCAAAACTGCTGCTCATGTTATTACGGTATTGTGCAATTTACCTAAAGTAAAATTTAAAAAGTTATGAAGTTTTTAGAATACAGAAGTCTGTACTAAAGCAGTGCATCAGCCTGAAGTAACGGTGTTCGCTCCGTAAACACTGATGCCGCGTCTTGGAAATAGGGGCACGTTGTTGTTCAGCTGCCTCGCAGAGTATATTACACCCTTGCTTTAGTCACGTATCGCTACAGTACCCGATACTTCCTTTACCCAGAGAAACATTTAGTAAGTGATTATACTAAATTAAAAAAAAAACCCTTGCCAGCCTTTCATTTCCTAAAGTAGGGGTTTAGGCTCCATCCCGAACTCTGGCTGTCCAAAATCGCACGGTTAAAATTTAGACTGTTCTGCTGATGTTTGGCAACCGTACAGGGCAGGCTGCTGCCCCTCACTGTGCTCAATATATTTATAAATTACCTTTCTAAACCCGAGGACTCCTGTCTAAAAACATACGTACAATTAAGGTAATACTGAGTTGAAGTTCAAGTCACTTTTATTTATATAGTGCTGACTACGTAAGGCTTCGGGAAGCAGCAGCTTGACACTGGTTTCCCTTGGGTAACTTCAGGCTCCAGGTATCAGTTGTCTGTAGTTACCCAGGATAGTCCAGGTGCTCTGTGTGCAGTCAGAGCAGTTGAAGCCTGTCTAAAACCATAAATAGAGGCTCACATCAAGAGCAACTCTTGAGTAGAGTT